TCATCCTGGCGCTGAACGTAGCCTTTGTCATTATCTGCTGGTGCTATATGAAGAAAGCCGATTCTAGTGTTTTGCATCTGAATCAGCTGGTTCTGATCTGCACGCAATTGATTTCTTGACGACATGATCTTGGGAGCTTTCGAGTCCTTGCGACTCTTCTTCCAAATTTTGGTGTAAACCGTGCTAACACTCCAAGTGTCTCACCATCATGTGCAAGTGTGTTAGCATTTTCACAATCATTTTTCAAAGGTTAATCACTTTCTCACTGAATGTGCACTATGCCCGAAATGCAATGCAAGTATTTCAACACCTAGTGGCACTAGATGATTGAGTTGTCCGATAAGAGCTCCCCTCTTAATAGTACGACCATCTATCCTAAATATGATCACACTCTCTATAGTGTCTTGATTACCAAAACAAAAAGACTCTGTTGAGATCACCTTTGCCTTGAGCCCTTTTTGTTTTTCTCTTTCTTCTTTTCCAAGTCCTAGAGCTTGATCACTATCATCACATGTCCACGAACATCACTATGGACTTCATCTTGCTCCACCACTTGGATTGGACCATCCTATCTAGTCACACACTTAGATGAAAGGATTAGTCCAACTAGGTTTCATCAATTATCCAAAACCAAACTAGGGCTTTTACCTCGTCGTCCGTCGTACCACGTGGATGGACGCCATGTCCCTGATCCGTGGCCCAGCCTCACCCATGCCAATGGGTGAATTTCGACACGCTCGCCATAGCCCCCACCGCTCTGATGCCACTGCCCCAACCGCCCTCACCCCTTTTTGGACCGTCGCCACTCCAATTTGAGTTGGTAGCACGCATGTGACCGCGCGGGAGACCCAAACCCTAGCCTAAGGACCCTAATCGCCCTACACGTGCCCCCTCAACCCCTCTGTGTCGTCCTCTACTATACCATGGGTGGTCGCGGCTATAAAGCCCCTGCGCCAGGGCAAGGGCGGACACAGTGGGTAGTCTAGGTAGGCATAGGACTACCCTAGATTTTGGCCCAAAAAATTTTAGTACTATGCAGCCCAAGAGAATTTTGGCCCGACACTCGTCATCCACTCATCCTAGCATCCAGCACGAGGTCACGACTTCGCGTTGGCACGCAACCGTCGGATGATACTATCACCGAGATAATTGGCCACTTAAAATGGTTATTGTGACTGTTATCACCGGCCTTCCATCCTTCCTACTGATGAATCTAGGTTGTCCGTGTCACTCATACCTCGAATCGCCACCGACTCCCACCCAAATTCCCCAAGTCCCCTCAGCCCCTGTTGGTGGTGGTTCCCGCAAGAAACCCCACCTCTATTCGCTTCATTCTCCTCACCTGATGTTTTCCCCTCATTGAATCCTAGCACAAGTGGTTCTTTTTTTGCCCCACTCTTTGGTTTATATGAAACCATCGTGAACCCAAAACTTTGTGGGATGCAAGTGTTATAACTAAGTCTAAGTTGTTGAGAGACATGAAGTAGCAAGATAAGAGCTACTATAATCTTGTTCCAAATGAGTATGACTACCGGAGTTTTATTTTGAAAATTGAGAAAAAAAACTTAAAGTTCCTCGATGGTGAAAATTACTACCACAGCCATATATGATCATACATAATATAAGATTTCTACATAGAGCTACTTGTTGAAAGGTCCTAAATGGCTAGAGGGGGCGTGAATAGCCTAATTAAAAAATGCTACAAAGCACTAGAGCAAAGGTTAGATGACAACAAAGCAATAACACGTTTTTTTCTATCTCTACTTGAAAAGGCAAGCTACCTACCAAAAGATAATTTGCTATAGTCTCTATGCCAATCAATTAAGCCATGTCACTATTGACAAACTAGTGAGGTAGCCAGAGAGAAAGAGACAACTAAAAACTCTAAGACACACAACTAAGCTACACTAGCAAGCTACAACTACACAAGACAAGTATATCGACAAAGTAATACAAAGAGAAATAGAGATCGATATACCAAGCCCAACAAGTGTCCAATATGAAATCCAATGAGACAATCGACACAAGATTTATTCACGAGGTTCAATTGCTTGCCGACAATCTACTTCCTCGTTGTGATGACACACTCACTTGGTGGCTCACGCACTAATAGGCATTACACGCTTAGCCCTACACAAGGGCATGGTAAGAACCAACACAAGGTGAGGGTACACAAGTCACGAGGAATCCACTAGAGTTGCCTTTTGTGGTTCACCCATAGGGAAGACACAAGAACCCCTCACAATACTACCGATCGGAGCCGGAGACAATCACCACCCTCTGCTTAAAGATCCCGCTGCTACAAACCGTCTAGGTGGTGGCAACCACCAAGAGTAACAAGAGAAACCTCAGCAAATACAATCCCAATTGCCGCTAGATGCAAGAAGTCAAGCAAATGCAATTGGATCACTCTCCCAACTCACTCGGATGATGAACAATCAAAGGAGAGGAGTGGGAGTGGAATATCTCAGCTCTATGGGGTGTATAATATGTCAAAGTGCCAAGAAATGGCGCCCAAGGCCGGCCCTTCCACTTAAATAGCCGTCCAAGAGCTCCTAGCCATTAGAGGCCGAAACCGACCGTCGGACTGCCATCGCGGGACCGTCGGACCGTACAACTCTCAAATACACACCTAAAGAATAGGGTTGGTCCAATAGGTTTCATCAATTAGCCAAAACCAAACTAGGTCTTTCAATCTCTCCTTTTTTTGTAATTAATGACAACCTTCACAAAGATATGAATTAAATTCATTTTAGGGAGAGAGAAGATCTAGCGGATCTGAAATCCGATGGCGGCGGTGGCGTCCGCGACCACGATTACCGCCCCCATCTACGACTGCAACTCCCGCCCAACCGGTTCGTGGCTCTAGCCCCGTCCACGATCGCATTCTGGACTTTGCCCATCTGCCGCCCTCCTCGATTATTGTCCACTCTACAGGCATGTCCTCCCTCTCCTTGCTCTGTTCTTCCTCTCCTCTTCCTTGTCGTGGCTCTACTCTTCCTCCCGTTCTTCCTCAACTCTAGTGTTCCTTCTTCTACTCTGCTCTGCGATCCTCGTGCTGTGGCTCTGCTCTTCCTCCCCTTCTTCCTCTTCTCTGCTCCTTCTCTGCTCTGCACTCCTCCTTGCTGCGGCTCTGCTCTTCCTCCGCTTCTTCCTCTGCTCTGCTCCTTCTTCTACTCTGCTCTGCGCTGGTTGGTTGCTATTTGTTGCTGCTATGGGTGCATAAGTCCATCTTTGTTTATACAGCTGATAGACTGCAATTAGAATGGAGATGAAAGATCGCTTGAATGGTCATGTCTAGATGATGTTATCTCACTAGAGTCTAATTTTCTGCTCTAGTGGCATTATATATATTAAGATATGTGTATGGCGTCGCCTCGCCACGCGCATTAAAAGCCTAGGCGTCTAGGAGATAGCTCGCCGCACCTCGCCTTACCGCCTTAATAACCTTGAACGCAGTAAGATATTAGTTAGGTCTAGTGGGGATCTATGAGCCATCGGATTTTCGTCGACCAAGGAGGTGGAGACCTAGTTTCGTCTCCATTTAGTTTTGCCCCTGGACAGCGGTTCCATGATTAGAATAAAGATGCTGAAACAATCATACCAAATGATTGTTAAATATCTACAAGCTTCGTGAAGTTAAATTAAAAGTAGTTGGATATTGCATAGCCTTTGTCCGTTGTTGCTCCCATTTTAGTAATTATCGGTGTTTAAATAGTCTGTTAAATGATTAGACTGTTTAAATGGTCTAAACGAAACATTGGTAGTGATTCCCTATAAAAATGGTGGAATTCTTCTAGTGTTTCTAAGTAGTAGTAGAACACTACCACTAATCATAGCACATGAGAATCCTCACTAGGAGGCATTTAGTAGGAAAAGTTTATACTAAAACACTAGGAGAATCTCACCTCACTAGGCGAAGTAGAAATAAGATACACTTAAATGGAACGTCTAAATAGTATTTCAGATCTAGTTTATAAAACATTTAATGTATGTAAAGTCAAACTTTATAATCTTTGATCAATAATGTAGCTAACAACTTTCAATTGTAATACAAACTTGATACTAGGAAATTTATAATCAAATGTACTGTCAGCTAATTATAAGTTTCTAATCATAATAATATAATATAGAATAAATAAATGATCAAAGTATAATTTAGTAGACCATCCTATGTTAGAAGGCGTCTTATAAACAGGATCGATGGGAGTAAGCAAAGAGTGATTGTTTACGATAGCACTGACTATAATCGTTTACATAAGACTTGGAAAAATTAGATGTGTGCCTGCCAAAATCTGTCTTTTCTATTGATTTCTATGCTTTTCTACCCATAAATACGAAAATATAAGATTGTTCATACATATTTCAATGTATTCCTATTTCCCATGTAAACAATATTGTACTATCACTTTGGAAAAAAATACTATCATCAGGAAAAAGGTGAGATATTTAGTATGCAACTTCCTGAAACCTAAGATAGAGTGCCATCGTTTAGAGGCTGAGAAATTCGAAAACCAAATCATGGTAGTAAATGTTCCTGTAAAACAAGAAAACTGAAAGAACATTGCCTTCTTGTTGAGGATGCTACCTCGAGCATAAAGGCGAAGCAACCCACCGCCAGCAAGTGTAAGAGAACCAAACCTTATACAATTATTATACAACTGTTACGCTCGCCATCACACTTGATTCATTAAGAATTCAAGCCTACCACTGTCTCTTTACATATATAGAAAAAAATTACTCCATATATACACATGGGCAACTGAATTGTCATAAAGAGCATAAATACACGAGTCTTTAAACCCCTAAGGTCCCGTCCTGGTGACGGCAGCTTGTTCAGAAGCATCTAAACAGTACTGGAAACGCTACCGCATGACATGTACACAATCCGGAAGACTTCACCCTACAGCACTGTTGCCACAAAACAAGAAAATTCATCTGTAGGCCATGAAGAACCTTTCCCACACCCTCCACATACTGGCCAAAAAAAGGACACTTTATTATCGGGCTCGTATCCCTCCCTTGTCCTTTTGGAGCTGCTTTGAGTAAGCAGCAGCCTTAGCATCTAGGGTAGTTTGCTTCTTCCGCCTCGACTGCCCAAGAGCTGCTGGGTCAAACAACGGCCCCGACCATGTTTGTGAGGTCCCCTTCTCTATGGGGACTACTGTACTGAAGGAAGCATCCTGGTGCTCGAACATAGGCTCCATGTGACGACAGGATCCCAGCGGATTACCCATACCTCCATCCTGATGTGGAGGAGGAAACTTCTCACTTTTGCTCTTTGCATTCGCATGAGTTATCATCCGTCGCCTCTGCTGTTAAGAAATTTGGGAAGCATATTAGTATCTATTAAGCAATAGCATTTGAAAGTAACAAACTGCCTGAGTTTACTTATGGCACATCAGTTATAGTTTCAATCCATGTTAATTCATCTGGAACAACTCATTTGTGGTCAGAAGCAAAAAAAACAAAGATAAATCTCCCTGTTTCGCAGCAATAACAAATGTACTAAGAGACAAGGGATAATTCTTGGAAGGTTTTGCCACAAATTAATACAGAGGCAAATGATTTTGTAACAATTTATTTAGCACTTAGCAGTAGTGCAATCAAACAATGTTGGCTTTTATCATGTTTTTATGTTAAAATTTCATTGTTCTTGAAGCAACAAGGCAAGGTGTGGCAACCCACCATCCTATTACCACCTAGGCGCTTAAGGCGAGGCAGTAAGGCACTAAGGCGGGCAAGGCGGACGCCATAGTCATGTATATCAGAGAAGAAAAGGAAAATAGGCCCATCAATGGACCATAGACACAAGAAGCAGTGAACCAACTGCCCAGGTAGCCTACTAAGGTTCAACCCAAGATTCCAAGTCAACAGCCCATAAAGCACCTGTCTCTTCCAACCTCATGGCCAATTGACTTCCCCTTCTGCGTATGTAGTCCCTCATGCAACCACCCAGGAGCAGTGACGAACTCCACCCCCTTGCACCTCCGCCAGCCATGAGCAGTGACAAACTCCACCCCCTTGCGCCTCCGCCAGCCATGAATCATCCCCTTCCCCCTACGCTAATGGTCACCGTTGCCTCCCCTTTCCAGATCGCCACTACCACAGTGGAGAGGGCAGAAACACGCCAGCCATCGCGCTTGATCTGGTGGGCAGAGCTGCACAGGAGCCAACAAAGGTGGGGGAAGGCAAAGGGAGAGCCATGCCACCCGCTGGTTGGTTCCCCATATCCTGCCCTTCATTTCTTCTCTGTTGTCTATCTGTCTCTGTTCCCTCAATCCCTCTCTCGTTCCCTATTTTGCCTATGTTACCCTGATACGTGAGGTAGGGGCCGTATCCCATACCGGATACGTATCTGATACAGATATGTGGCGGATACATATCAACGAAGTATCGGGACAAAAATAAATACTACAATTTCGGATACTTAAGCCAATATGTATCAGCCCATCTACTGGATACAGCCTAACCCAGAACATCGATACATCACGCCCGGCAAAGCTGTGTTTGGTTGTTCAGTGCCCCACCTTCCTTCCCTCGATCCCTCCGCGCCGTGGCCTCCCTCACCCAGACATACAACTGCCACCGCACACAGCCCATGCAGAGAATAGTGCCAGCAGAGACCTTAAGCAGCTGCCTGCAATGCTCAAGCAGGCATCAGCTGCCAGAGGTGCACGCCACCCGCAAGGCACACGGCACCTGTTTGTCGATGCTCTGACGAGCGTGACCTGCCTGTGGTAAATAGGCAGGGAGCTCTTTCCTCCTCCCTCTCGTAGTGATTAGTCCCTTCCTGTCCTCTCTCCCATGTCCCACCCCACAGCTAGTCAAATTAATCCATACTCTTTGCTTGATTTTTCCTAGCCAAGACTAGATGGCAGCAACAAACACAAGGAGTGCTTTCATTAGTATGTGTTGTACTGCCGGCTTGAACTGGAAGTGGGAGGGAAAGGAATTGGATCAGTTATCTATTGATCTCCTCCAAGCCTGGAAGCCTCGAGTCAAAGGTGATTTTGCAAGCTTGGATTTTGAGAATTGGATGGAGGTGCTTCACAGGCTTGGCAGTTGGGAGTGTTGGCAAAATTGAACTGTGGAAAAGATGAGCAAAACAGTACAAATGCAAGATTGCGTTGGCAAAATTGCTATAGGCCACTACTGCTTTTAGAATTTTATAATATGCCTTATTATCTATTTATTTTAAAAAAACTAAAACATATTTGTGTATTGGGCTTTTACAAAAAATGACATATCCACCTATCCATACCTGTCCGATGCCACGTATCTGTATCTATGATGCATAGATTTTTGCTAGGCATCAGCGACACTTTGGCACCAGTTAGTGCCTTGTCAGCGACATACAAACACTAGTTAATTTCAACTTTTTACGACACTTTGGCAATTTTGAAGTGTTGAAGTAGTGAATTTTGCTGTATCTATATTTCTTCCCTGAAAGGGAAAAAAGGAAGAGTAAGGACACTCATTTTCTTGTGCAAGCTTTGCAAAAAAAATTGTTCATTGCAGGACAGGTTAGTGAACAGCTCTTGTTTCCCCTAAACAAGGATAACTTATCATGGCGAAATAAAAAAGTGAACTACCTAACAGTATCAGATAATCACAATCAACTTGGCAGTTTCTGTATTTCTCAATGGTGAAAATCATAGCAAGCAAAAACAAGCATAGTCTTCAGTCATAAAGAGCTTTGACTTACGTCTAAGTTCGCTTGAATCTCTGCATTAGCTTCTGGTGCTGGTCCAGTCCTGCGAGATTGATCCCGTGGTCGAGTCCTTTTTGCTTCTCCTTTGGCCTTTGCAGCAGCTCGTAGTCTGAAGGATGATAATGCAACACAGAAACATAAACTAGTTACAAATATGAATATATCCTTACTGCTTACTGGAGAAGTCTCTTGATTGAAAAGAGGAAGTTTAAGCAGTAGCAGTTAGAGTGCATGCAGATATATGCCATTCAAGTTTACAAAAGTGTTTAGCCAATAACATGTTGATGGTCTCATTTTCTTTTTTTTCTTTTTTTTTTTTTTTGTCTTCTGGCTAATTCCTACTTCATAACAGTAAAAGGTAAAAAACGAACACTAAACCACACAGAAAATAGCAGAAAGTGGCTGCATGACAGTTTTAAGGAAAACACAGGAAGTTCCTATCAGATAGGTTACAAATGAATAACAATAGTTATGGTTAAATGAAGAATGATGTGAATCCATAATGTGTTCAATATCAACATTTCATTATTCATGACTAAAAACACTAATCCCAACTTGACACAAGACGGTTCATGACTCAAAAAACTAATCCCAACTTGACACAAGATGGTTCATGTAACCCAATAAACATGTGATGTAAATGTTGTAGGTAGGGCTCAAACATGTTTATATCCACATGTATGTCCAGCAAAAAGTAAAAAGGGTAAATGTGACACACCTTCTAGCCTCCTCATCTCTTAACTTGGCATCCATCTCCTTGCTTGGTGGATATGTTGGCAGACTTGAAGGGTCACAAGCATAAGGCTCGGTTGAAAAAAACTAAGCCAATTTTTTTTTTAAAAAAGAAAAGAGCACATGATGAGTAACTATTGATGGCGGAATAATAGTTCATTAGAAGCAGCACAAAAGCATAAGCCCATTCAAAAAGACATCAACCATCTTCATCGCCTGATCCTAGAAGAAAAGAAAAGAAAAAAAATGGGTGGGGGGGGGGGAGGGAGGGAGCACTTCTTTGTCACCCGTCAACAGAAGCATGTTGCAAGTTTCAAGGAAATGGGGCTGGATAAGGATTGGCAGTAACTCAATGGATAACAAGCCTCTCCTAGAGATCAGGCAGTAATCACGACACTGCAAATCCAAAACTAAAATGGATATACAATACTGATCCTAGTAGGAGAGCACCATTTTCTATGACATACTGTATATATGATTGAATTGCACATTGCACAATAGTACAAGGCACAAGACTGTAGTACAAACATGTGAGTCAAAATAGAATCATATATTGTTTATTTGCAAAGACTGCAATATATGCAACCCATAAATAAAATTTGAGAATTATATAATACCAACCATGAAGGGTGGGCCTGGTGCAAGCGGTAGAGTCTTACCGCCTGTGACCGGAAGGTCCCGGGTTCGAGTCGCGGTCTTCTCGCATTGCACAGGCGAGGGTAAGGCTTGCCAGTGACACCCTTCCCCAAACCCCGCACAGAGTTGGAGTTCTCTGCACTGGGTACGCCCTTTATATAATACCAACCATACAGATTCCCTCAGCTAGTGGAGTTCTGCTCCATATCTAGTTATTAACATTTTGAAGCAAATATTTTTTTTCTAGATCTAAATCGTTTTCCTGCAGCACCATACTTTGCTTCACAGTAACATTTCTGATTACACACCTAAAAAATTTCTTTCCAACTAAGACGAAGAGAAAGGATGGGAACATACGTCACTGTGTAATGCAGCTGTCGCAGTTTGTCTCTCAGCTGGATCAATTGCAAGCAGAGTTTCAACCAATGGCAGAGCCGATGTAGGAAAATCTTTAAATGTCTCCCTGATGCAACGTTTATAGGGTTGTTGAGGTTTGAATATAGTCGCATGTGGCAATTTAGACTTCTTCCAGTACTCCTCAGAAGGGGAACCACATAGCTTGAAAATCTTGTGCAACTGTTCCACCTGGTAAATAGTGTACATCCCAGTTTTAACAGTAGACTAAAAGTGTGGCATAAAAAAAAAGAATATATGGTAGCTGGAGGAACATGAACAGAAAACAACAACAACAACAACAACAACAAAGCCTTCAAGTCCCAAACAAGTTGAGGTAGGCTAGAGTTGAAACCCAGCAAAAGCAATCAAGGTTCAGTCACGTGAATAGCTGTTTTCCAAACACTCCTATCTAAGGCTAAGTCTTTGGGTATATTCCATCCTTTCAAGTCTCATTTTATTGCCTTTACCCAAGTCAACTTCGGTCTTCCTCTGCCTCTCTTCACGTTACTATCCTGGCTTAGGATTACACTACGCACCGGTGCCTCTGGAGGTCTCCGTTGGACATGTCCAAACTATCTCAACCGGTGTTGGACAAGCTTTTCTTCAATTGGTGCTACCCCTAATCTATCACGTATATCATCGTTCCGAACTCGATCCCTTCTTGTATGACCGCAAATCCAACGCAACATACGTATTTCCGCAACACTTATCTGTTGAACATGTCGTCTTTTCGTAGGCCAACATTCTGCACCATACAACATAGCAGGTCTAATCGCCGTCCTATAAAACTTGCCTTTTAGCTTCTGTGGTGCCCTTTTGTCAGAAAACTCAAGAAAAAATGTTTTTGTGGTGTAAGCACTCTCGCAGAATTTATAACTCAATAGATTTATGAATAACCAAAGTACATGTACATGGCCATTGGCAACTCAAGCATCATGCCCAGTCCATACTAATCTCTTAAGCAATTTCAAAAGATTAAATTCAGTATTTTCTACGTTTTCACTCATTCATGTATTGCAGAGTTTATTAGCAACCCCCTCCTAGTTTCTACATAATATCTGGCACATCAGGATTTCACCTTTTACTTTAATCCCACGAGGTTAGGCGGACAATCAGCCTATTTTCTAGAGTTATACAATAAGACTAAACCTTGCATGAGCAGCTGACATTGAGGAAGGGGGCAGGGCTGTTCATGGGATTCATAGGCCAATAAGAGTATATGAATTGGTTCAGTCATGCAAGTCTGAACTTATATAATATATGCCATCTTAATCATCCCTGAACAACAAGTGCTGCAAGAAAGCTCATGGGATACTAATCCTTTAGCTCAAATATAAGAGTTCTTACGAATAAAGGAGACTGAATTGGATGATTCTATCGAGGCCCAATGGGGACTATATATAGAGTACATGAGACACAAGAGGGAAACCCTAGACTAGGAGATTACACTAATAACCCTGACTATTATACCCCAACACCCCCTCTCAAATGCAACATGAATGCAATGTCGGTACATTTAGAGAGTTGGCACTATGCACTAGACTTGAAAAGAAAAGTGTATACATCCAAAATCCAAAAACGAAGATGTTGTCGAAAAGTGCAACTCTTGAACAACGTCGATGTAGAAAATGATCTCCTTGACAAGAGGGTATTGCCTTCACAACCCGTACTTCAGCAAATACGTCAAGTCTTCACAAATGGTACTTAAACTCTTCAACTGTGAACCTTGCTTTGGAGACTTTGAAATCGACGGGAATAAAGAGATGTATCAGATCAAGCCAAAGGAAGAATAGAGAGACCACTGTTGCTAGATAGCAAGCAGTAAGACAGAATGGTGAGACGACAAACAAACGGCCTTTGATCATGAGGTGTAGCAAAATGGTTACGAAAGAGATCAAGAGGGCAAAGTCGCACCAAGATGATGATGATTAGCTAAATCGACGGGGCTCAGCTAACCAAAGATTAGAAAAGTTGGCTAATCCGACAATAAATTTGTGGATACGAACGACTTGGACAAATTGTAGGTGTAGAACTAGACTTGGATGGACAGAAATGCAATAGATTCAATGAAATTTAGAAAATTGGCTTCAGACAGAAGATAGAAGCAAGGGCGCTCCAGAGCAACCAAACATGGGCGGACGAATCCGCAGACTAGGCGAGATTGATAGCAAGGCGGGCGAGAAGAGTCCACGAGGACAGGCAACGGGCTAGCGGATGGCGGGAGGCATAGACGGCGCAAAGACGGGCGAACGGGTCGCGTGTACGAGCGGCGTTGAAGAGGGTCCACGATGGGCAGACTCCAAGCCACGACGAGCGGCTGGGCGAACGACGGACGAGGAGTCGCGCCACCGAGCATCCTCTTCGTGCTTGAAGACAGACGGATGGAGAGAGCGTCTATGGAAGATGCCGCAACGAGAGATGCGCAGACAAGAAGAACTACAAGAGGGAGAGCCTAGACTAGGAGATTACACTAATACCCCTGACTATTATACCTTAACAAGAGCATTGATGTAAATAAACTAAATAGAAGAAGCTGGCTGTTTTATGTCTTGTGCTTTTGGATGCTACTGATATACAATGTATTGATAATTTCTAATAACTTTTCTAAAAGAACAAAAGTCCTAGACAGCAATGGTTTGTCCACTACAACAGGTTTTCATTAATAAATGTGAAAATACATCGCAACTATTGGCCATATTTGGAAATTTTGGTGACTAATGAAAGAGGCCGTCGTCAAATGACAAAAAGCATAATAACTACCACAGGGGAGCAAAGCATTGAATCTGTAAAAATTGATTAAGAATTAAACATGTATGTTGAATTCAACCTTATTGTTATGTATGCCATTCCACCAGTACCAGATATGTGAACAAAATACTTAGAAACATCAAATCTGTTTGGAAATTTCCAATAATGGATACAGTTGCATCAAAAGCTTATTATAGCAGAAACGGCAGACGCATGTTTGTCAACAGAAGTTCCCACTAAAGGCAACAACCAATGGGAGTCCACAATATCCTTAGAGAAACCTTAGTCAGACACTTACAATAAGGGCAAAAGGCCATCCAAGTCTTCCCATAATGACAATGACATGTTTACAAACAACTACTTGCCAACATAAAAAATCGAACAAAAGACCAGACAGCGTAGAGATAACGATGTCCTCACAAGGCTATCTGAGTAAAAAGTCAACATATTTAGCCACTACCACAGAATTCTTTATAATGTGAACAGTGGGAAGGGGAGATTTAACCATAGTTCTGATATTGACAGCATGGCCCCAAGGATTACTACAAAAATTAACATGGTAGAGTACAGAGTGACCCATGTTCAAGACTCACCTCAGTGTGCCCAGGCATTATGGGCTTTCCATACAAGAGCTCTGCCAGAATGCATCCAGCACTCCACAAATCAACGCCTACACTATAATCAGTGGCACCAAGTAACAATTCTGGTGGACGGTACCACAGCGTGACCACTCGGCTCGTCATTGGCCGTTTATGCCGTGGATCAAAGAATGTCGCCAGCCCAAAATCCGCAATCTTAAGAATCCCATTATTATCCAACAACAAGTTTGACCCCTTGATATCCCGGTGCAATACATTATTGTCATGACAGTGCTCAAGCCCTGACAACAGCTGCTGCATGTAACATTTAATCTGCAAGATAACACAGTGACATCAAACTCACACAATTCCCACCGAGTAATCATCGACCGTGTCTGAAACAGCAATCAAGTCTCACACACCTGAGGCAACGTGAACCTGACATCAGGACTTGCAGCCAGCCCAGCAAGGTCATGCTCCATGTACTCGAAGACAAGGTAGAGGCTGCACGACATCCTGGAGGTGACCAAGCCCTCCAATTTGATGACGTTGGGGTGGTCGAGTGTCCTTAGGATCAGTATTTCCCTGGCCATAAACTTGACGCTCTCTGACTCGAGGTTATCAAAGCGAACCTTTTTAAGAGCGACGATGCGGCCGGAGACGGTGTCCCTCGCCCGGTACACGTTGCTGTACGTGCCCGATCCTATCTAAGAGTGAATCGCCGGACAAAGCCAACACAATAAAGTAATGGCGAATCAGTACGGTACTCCAGTAGAACGATCAGATTTCAGGGGAGAGGGGGGCTTCCGCCTACCTTATTGAGCTTCTCGAAGGTGTCGGCACGGCGCGGCGCCCAGCCGCGGAGGGCCTCCCCCGCGACAGCGACGAGCCACGGCGGCCAGCCGGCGGCGAGCTGCTCCGCCGCGGCGGCCTCGGGGACGCACCCCTGCCTGGGCCCCGCTGCCCTGCGGCCCCCGAGCCGCCGCCGCGGCCTCCCGTCCCCGGCGGCGGCGGCGACTGCGGAGGGCGACCCCGCTTCGGGCTGCGGGGACGACCTCTCCTTGCCCCTCTTCTTCCTCGGCGCCGCAGGGGACGACGCGGCCGCCCGGCCGAAGACGCAGCCCATAGCCGGTAGCGCACCTCTAGCCTACCCTACCCTCTCAAACCTTCTCGGAGCATCTGACCCCCGCCCGGCCCGAGCCGCTAGGGTTTCTGCTGCCCTCCTCGCCGGGGCGAGGGGAGCGAGCGAGCGCGAGGCGGAGACAGGGGAGTGAGTGAGGCGGGGAGGATCAATCAATCAGCAATGAATGAGAAGCCACGAGAGGCGAGCAGGGCAGAGGGAGGAGCGGTTGTCTGTGGATGAGCATTTAATAGGTCACGTGGCGGTGGGGCTGACTAGTGGGGCCCCGGGGGTCAGATGCGGTCAACAGCTGGCGGGTCGGTAAATCCAACCCAGCGGGTGTGTCATTTGTGTTATTGGGGTGGGACCCGCGGCGTCATGAGTCCGGTGGGGCGGGCAATAAAGGCTGCGTTCGGCGGGTAAAGAAAAAACACCACCGGTTGATTTTCTCTCATAAATTTCTTCAGATTCCTCCAAACAAACGGGATCAAAAGCGATTTGATCGTTTTGCTGTTGGCGGTGGGTTTGAGGCGTGCGGGGGCGCTAACCTCAAGCCGTAAGGAATAATCCGTTGGCTGTTCGCGCTGCCAGCCACCTGGTGTGATTAGCTGGAGAACGAGAGGAATAGGATGGTTCCATCTCAGATTTTAAGAATGACTACACTAGTGTTTGGTTGGAAGGATAGAACGATTCTTTTTTTTTGTTTGGTTGAAAGGTGAAAGGATGGGATGAATGAGTAATAGATTTGTTAATCTTGTTTGTCTTGGGAGCCACATGTCATACAAATGAGCTTCTACCTCTTTCTTCGTCCTTCTTTCTCCGCAAGATTCTGCACAACCGCACACGGCTCTCTAAAACCGGACGTGTGGCACCGCTACCGCCCGGTGGCACAGCCCCCGCCCCGCACCAACCTCGCCGGCCCAGCCCAGGCTGCGCCAACCCTGACCTCGCCCACCGTTCTAGCTGCGCCGGCTCTACTCGCCTGTGCATCCTTCCTCACTGGTGTCAGATCCGTGCCTCCTCTTCGGCCATGCCCTCCCTTAGCTACGCCGACTCTGCCCGACCTCGGTCGCCTGAGTCTGAAAGCTCTAGTTTGGTTTTGGTTAATTGATGAAACCCTAAATGCTAACCTAGTTTATCAAGATGATTATGAGATAGGTAGCACTACTCCAAGTGATAAAGCAATGACGAAGATCATGACAATGGTGATAGCATGGTGATGATCAAATGCTTGAACTTGGAAAAGAAGAAAGAGAAAAACAAAAAGCTCAAGGCAAAGATATAAAATGTAGGAGCCATTTTATTTTAGTGATCAAGACAATGTTGTATTGAGGACCTACCTTTTAAGAACTTGTCTTACACATGTAGTGGACTACAAAGGCTAGACAAGGCTGTCACCACCTGCTAGCTATCACTAACTATCCATGCGACAAGCGGTCTTCACATGCAAGATATAGTCTAGATGCTACGTCTACACTACACTCACTACTCTAACCTTCACGAGACATGTAACACCCTAGTGTTAAACATTGCATTTGGCACTTGCATTTCATGAGCACAAGCATCATCCAAGCATTCATGAGCATGAGCATATGGAATTTTATCTTATTCTTTACATATTACCACATGTGATGTTAATTGTATACATGCATATGCTTGTGATCATGTATGACCAATGTAAGAGATGGTTGTGAGGTCACAAAAACACCTTAGACATGTCTAGAATGGTAAATGGAACAATGTTTGTATTCATGACATGGGCTAATTTTGCTTCTAAGTCCTAGTTTACTCTAAACTTCCATTTTCATGTTACTACTTTGACTAAAGTTGAACTATAGCATAGATTATTTGCATGGCAGTGCACCCTTAATAAAAGTTGTAGTTCTTGATGTGGGTAACAAACTTTATTTAAGGGTCATGAGCTAATTCAGTGCCTAGCATGGTCAAATAGAGCCCACAAGTAGCAATGAAATGTTGTTTTCTAAGTCTAAACCTGATTTCAGTTTCCATGAGCTCTACTTTGGAGCCCTATAGTTTGAAAACCATGGCGATCTAGACTAAACCCATAGAAGCAAAGTTGGAGTTTACATGTAGCTCTACAACTTTTGTTAATGAAGTTTTTGCAAAGGACAAACAGATTGGAAGATAGATGTGGAGGAAGTCACACTGTCAGTCGGTTCATTAGAGCCCGATGGCTGTTTTCAAACCGACCGAGTGGCCGACTAGCAGCAGGCTAGGCGCACCATCTGGCGACCGTATGCCGGTGCTGGCCCCACTGGTCAGGCCGAGGTGGGCTGCAAAGCCACCGCATCGCGCCCATCTTCTCTCTCTCGCTCACTCGCCTCGCTTCGCTCTCTCTCTCTCTCTTGTCATGGCGAAGCCGAGCGCTATTGCCGCCGTGAACTTCACCGAGCTCGCACACAGCCCTCACCGCTTCATTTCCAAATCGCCCACGCCAATAGCTCCGCCTTCCTCTACTCTACCACCTCGACCTAGTAGAGCCATCGTTCGAGCCCAAGGTAAAGGCCTATGGCTGTTTCTGCCACCACAACATCACCGGAGTGCCGCCGAGCTCCAAGCTCGCCATGGCCTACCCTAGCTAGACCTCGTCATCCCCCTCTAGCACGCATTGCTGCATTGCCATGAACCCTAGCACCATCTCTGAAGATGGAGACTTGCCTTCAGTAGCCGTCTCATCGGAACGGGAGGCATCGCCGCCGTGCGCTCGCACTGCCATGCCGCCTTGCACGCGTTCGTGCCTCTCCGATGCCACTACTAGCCCTAATCTGCACCCGCTAGGTCCGCTAGGTCATCGTGAAACCATAGCCAAGCTCACCTTAGCCTATCATGGCCAGAGTCGGCCGGTGCACCGCCGTGCATCACCGCCGTGCCGCCATTGCAGCCGGTGAGGTAGCTCCGGTGAACCACTGAGCCAACCAAGGGCACTAGTCGACGCGGGATGTCGAGTAGGTCACGATGGTGAAGACGCTACCGTCATGAGCTCGCCGTCGCTGAGCTCTGGCCGGTCAGCGCTGTCCTCTGCTCCTGTCTCGCTGACGTGTGGGCCCATTGAACCGCGAGGCCCAGCTATTAGTCAGGGTTTTGAATTTTTCCTTATTTATTCTTCTAGATTTTGTTGCAAACTTCAAAAATTCATAACTGGAGCTAGGAATGTCCAAATTGAGTGAACCAAATTTTGTTGGGTTCATCATGAAGTGTATTATTTGATAAAAATATGAAAACTACTATTTGGGATATTTTTCTAGGGGAAATTAAATTGAGCTAGTTAAGTGCTTTTAAAATAGTTTCTATCTTATAAAATGCATATCTTGAGCTAGGGAAGTGCAAAAATTGTGATTCCAATTTTTTTAGTCTTGTGTTGACATGCTCTAGCTAGAAAAAATACTAAGCCTACAGTAGACATACTTGGAATATGGTACTTCCTATTTAATCTTAAATAATTGCTAGTTTCTAGTGAAAATAAATGAGGTAAAAATACATAGCTTATGATCATGCAAATTTTTACATAGTGTTTTAATGCTAGGATGGCAGTAATAAAAATATAAAATCTATTGTTTGGCACTTTTCACTAGGTTAAACTATTTTTGCTAAAATAAGCCTATGCAACTTGTCATTTTTGTAGAGGTTGCTATACTTATTCAAATGACATGAAATTTGTGTAGTAGACTATTGGGGTCAGATGTAGTCTAATGTAATTTTCTTAGAATTTATTGATCACTAGAAATATTTATCCTTTAAATCACCTTATTATATAAGGAAATTAATAAATGCACATAAGTAAATTATTTGGGCTTAACCATGATATTTTCTGTGGTGCTTGTGATGCATATGATCTGTTGATATTAGTAGTTATGCTTAGAATTGATTGGTTATAGGCAGCTACTTAATCATTGCTTTATAATTCAACTAGATGGCTGCATGAGTAGTTTCTGTTGTGTTGACAAATTCATGATGATAGTGACTTTTCCTATTAAACTTGTTAATAACAAAGTTGTAGGAAACTCACTCATATTGGTTATCCTAAAATTTCATAGCTATAGGCTAAATGGTTTAAGATTTATAGCTGTTAGAAGTCTGCCGTCGGATTTGCTTGTCCTCTGGGTAGATCTGGAAGATTGAATTATTTGACCTGGATAACTACTGAATCACCTTAAGATAATTAAAAGAAAGTTGTAGGGAATTTCATAAGATTTCTAGAAAGTCCACAACCATATTGTTTGGGTGTGTATAACTCCAGTTATGGTCAAAACAAGTGGTTGTTGTCTTGCAGTCCAAAAAATATTTAAATAGGTGTTTGTTTAATTACTAGAGAGGAGATATGCACATACTCTGTAAAAACAATTTATCATGTTATCACTTTAATACATTACTATTAAGGACACTTATGAGTATGCATTTTATCATATCATATCATCTATGTCATTATCTATGCATCCATGATATCTTATTTCATGCTTATACATATAGGATCGCCCGAAGGAGTAACCCTACTGAAATTCAAAGAAGAGGTGGAGGACAATCAAGTGACACCCCAAACTACAGCTCCTAAAGGAGAGGAGCCATCCACTGATGAACTTCCAGAGTGCCCTGACCACCGATCCACTTCGTTCCTGAAAGGTAAGCCCCAGAGCATTCTAAGCCTCCTATGTTTTTACAAATATCACTTGAGTCCTTTATGTTTGATGCATTAGGTTATAAGAGTTGATGGGAAACACTTGATGCATAGAACTACCTTGTCTAGATATATATACCTTTAACCCTGTATAGGTCCAAGATCGAATATATGCTTATCAATGCTTAGACCGGTAGAAGTCGGGTGATTTCCTGTCACCTACGAGATATAGGTGGATACTAGAGCACGGTTGGCTATATTTGCTATCGTGGAATAGAACTAGGGGGTAATGTAACTGGAGGTTGACTCATGTGATTCCGTCTGTGCTTATTAAGAACCGCATCGTTGGAGGTCCTCTTGTCATTTTGAACGT